ATCGCTACTACTAGGTTGGAGGCCATTGCTACTAGGTTGGAGGCCATTGCTGCTAGGTTGGAGGCCATCGCTACGAGGTTGGAGGCCATGGCTACTGGTTGGAGGCCATCGCTACTAGGTTGGAGGCCACTGCTATTAGGTTGGAGGCCATCGCTACTAGGTTGGAGGCCATCGCTACTAGGTTAGAGGCCATCGCTACTGGGTTGGAGGCCATTGCTACTAGGTTGGAGGCCATCGATACTGGGTTGGAGGCCATCGCTGGTATGTTGGAGGCCATCGCTATTAGGTTGGAGGCCACCGCTACTAGGTTGAAGGCCATCGCTACTAGGTCGGAGGCCATTGCTACTACGTTGGAGGCCATCGCGCTGCCAGGTTGGAGGCCATCGCTAGTATGTTGGAGGCCATTAGGTTGGAGGCCATCGCTACTAGGTTGGAGGCCATCACTGCTAGGTTGGAGGCCATCGCCAGTATGTTGGAGGGCATCGCTATTAGATTGGAAGCCATCGCTACTACGTTGGAGGCAATCGCTATTAGGTTGAAGGACACCGCTATTAGGTTGGAGGCCATCGCTATTAGGTTGGAGGCCATCGCTACTACAGTAGGTTGGAGGCCATCGCTGTTAGGTTGGAGGCCATCGCTATCAGGTTGGAGGCCATCGCTATCAGGTTGGAGGCCATCGCTATTAGGTTGGAGGCCATCGCTAGTAGGTTGGAGGCCATCGATATTAGGTTGGAGGCCGTTTGAGGCCATCGCTAGTAGGTTGCGGGCCATCGCTAGCAGGTTGGGAGTGGGCACATCTTTTCTTCCAGCCTCAGTGCCTCAATGCTGCGATCTTGCTTGCCAAGCATCCCCGTCAATGAGAATATCACCCGCCTGAGCTCAAAAAATCAATCTATTTACATGGTCCGGAGGGTAAACGGCAGTCCTGGTGTACAGCTTTAATCCCGCTCCAGGTTGAGGAGTACAACCACAGCAAAACAAGGGTGACCTCTCTCACTACTTCGGACGCAATCTTCATGAACAACCCAGAAACCGTTTCGCGCGATGTCTTCGTGCTGATGCAAAGTGACTTTGCCCAATTCAATCCACAGTAAAATCACCAAGAAGCATCTGCCACGGCATCTTTGACTGCTCCAACAGCACCCTTCTCCTTGAAGTCCTGCATGGGCATGCTGCAGAATTATGAGGCTAAGCGGACCCACTAAGTCCCAGCAGGGGCGTACGAGCGATTGTCTGCTCGCAGGCTGCAATTGCTGACGCAGATAGGAAGAACAAACTGCATGGAAATGTGGTGGTCAGTGGTTTGGATGTTCCCGGAGTGTTGCGGACCACAGGACTCAAGGATTTCACACCACAGGACTCCACCGGTGTACCTCGTGCAAACACACCCTGAAAACACATCCTAATCCTCAAGTGGTTAGTCCCTAGTTTGCGTGGGGCGGTCCGTACATACTTCCTTTGCAGGGGCATCTGGCACTAGTTACTACTGTAGATGTTGACCACAAACACTGCACACAGATACGCTTCCAAATGTCAAGAAGTCAAACACAAACACATTAAATTGATGAAGGCACAAGAACCGTCCCCAAAGGCACAGGCCCGGAAAATACGAGTCTGAAGCCCAATGACGAACAAGAGAGAAAGAGAGAGAGAGAGAGCTTCCATAGGTTGAATATGCGCCCCTCATCGTCGAACTTTTTCAGGAGATAACACTGTTGATCATGGGGGAATTGGCCGCTAGGCACAGTCACATGCACCGCAGAGTCTTTGTGCCACTTTGGTGGCCTGCACAGTCAGTGCCACTTCTTCACCGACCATGTCGCCCAAGTTTCTCACGGCTCTCTTCGCCACCGAGCCTCAGCTCGAATATTTTGTGCTGGGATGACAGGCGGTTCCATGATAACACTGATGGCTCAAGGCTTGCGAGCTGCAATTCCTTCCAGAATGGAATGTGCAGCTGCCCGTCAAAACCTTTAAAGCGTTTAAAGGACGCGCTCTTTAACTTTACTTCGCTGCAACAACAAGCATGCAACCTGCGTCGAGAATGTCCACCAACCTTGACAGTCTGGGGTTTGCAACGTATGCCAAAGCACAGTGAGTGAAAAAGTGGGTTCACCACCAGTTGTTTTGGAGCTTGGAGCTTGCCTTCTTCACAGCCTAAGATATTTTGCTGGCCAGTTTTTCATTTCTTCTGGGAAGCAACAGTCGCCCCGTTGAGCCTGTGAGTTTGATCATTATTGAGGAGAAGCGATGCGGGATGCAAAAGCTGTAGCATGATGCTGCACATCCTCAGGTATGGTCCCTAACCTGGTTTTTAAAATCGATCCCCAGCGCCTCAGGCCCTTGTCTCCTGAGCTCCATGCTGGCGTTCTCGTCTTCCAAGGGCGGCGGGTTCACATTGCCGAAGCCCTGAATCCTCTGCGCCAACGCCGCGCGGTCCTTAAGGATGCCGCGGCAAAGGCCCGTGGTTCGGAGGGTGCCCTACCCAGAAGCAAACATAGAAACGTGCAAAGTAGGAGTTTTCTGTCGCATTGCCACTCGACCCACTCCCAACTGCTGTTGAATACTGAATTTAGATTGCAGGAAGTGGTGATCCAGGAATCCCTCAATCTGTGAACTTTTTCAATTTGTCAGTTGACTGTCGTTCTTGTTGGGATGCTCGGCCCAAAGGAAGCCTGACTTGCTTTGGCAAGGCAGGAGTCTCAAACATGGCAGGGAGGACTATTAAACATAGCCCGCTAGTTGAATACCTTGTTGTCGACACTTCATTGGGCCACAGCGGTTTACACCCTTCAGTGGCAGTGTATCACTTGTAGCCACGTCACAGGCTGCATGACAATGACGGCGGCCACCCGAGATCTGAGCAGGAGTTTTGGATCAGTTGGCCATGTTTTACTTACCTACATCATCTGAAAGGGGCGGAGGTCTTTCGTGTCACAGTGCAATCTCCATGTTACCCCCATAGAACACAGCCAAGGACAAAAAGAAGCTCAGCTAGCCTCAACTGGCTTGATTTTGCTGATGAAATGAGGGTCGTGCGCAAACACGTGCACACGCAATTCTGACACATGATATGGAAATTGCACTGTCGTGTTGCAAACCCTAACTCGTCAGTGGCCAATACAATTTGGCCACACAAGGGTCAAGGTATACAGTAACAATCAGTAATCAGTAACATATTGCTTAAGATAGCAACCATGACATACCATGACGATGATTGTTTCCACCAGACATGCCTCAAAGAGAGGGAGTTCTACACGAGCGGGAAGTCCTGTATTGGAAGTCTCGGGGTTCTCGGTTTGTCCAACTTCTGCTGAATGAATGAAGATGGCACGGTTCAGCCATTGTCAGGGAGAGGGCAAGAGTTCATGGAAATAGAATAGCACATGCACAAAATTGGTGACCTGCTGTGCCGGCAAGGGGCAAAGATGCAAGCGTCTTAAGTCAAAATCGGGCTAATGCCATGTTTGAGCCGACGTGCAGCAAAACCGCAAACTTGCAAAGCATTGTCCTCATTGCCTAATGTGTGCGAAAGGTGGTCCCCTTCGTGACTATAGATTCTAGCTCAAGAACAGCATATGCCCTAGGCCACCCTACCCTAGACATGGAAAAACGATGAGGGTTCGTGGCCACTTCTTGCTCCAACTCCCTTCATGTCTGTCTGGCAAACGTGGCTTCACTGCCAGAAGATCCTTCGCATTGGGTTCCCCGCGTTGCACCTCATGGGCTCTGGCGCTGAGGCCGGGAGTCTTCGCTAAGATCCTGCGGCACAAACTCGTTTCACCCAGTTGCGGCGTGACTCGTTTCACCGCCTGCGCCAGGCTCTGAGTCATTGCGAATCGGTGACTCCTAGTCACGCGCTCGCCACTGAACAGTGTAGAAAGAACAGCCAATTCAGTGCAGCTGTTCATCTGCAAGATGCTCCCCGCTTCTAAGTCATCACGTCGATCATCCATAAACTTGCTATTGCACGTGGGGAGTGGCAGTGAAAAGGATTGGCAGCTCCTGTAGTAAATGGCCTCATCTGGCTGAATTCTAATCACCAGCTCGTTCTGCGGCTGATCCTCATGCAACAGCGTCTGCTCGGTTTTAGAGGTCAGAACGTGCGCATCGCTTCGGCCGGCGAATTCATGTCTGTCTTCGGGGGCCATGCAAGCAAGCTAGCAGTACGTAGGCGGCAAAGCGACTCAATGCCGAGCGACTCAGTACTTTGGCCCACTAAGCCCAAATGACCTGAGGTGCTGACCCCAAAAAGGCTGTTGGGCGGAGCCTTTTTGAATTGCAAGCGCCTCAGTGCTGAGAACGTTCAACCTCAAAGGGACACTTTTTGGTTCTTCTAGGGTCAAAAACGCTCACAGCTCATAGCTTTTTGCAGTCCTAGGTTTTGGCAAATCGCCCTTTTTCCCGGTCAAACCATGAGATACCATCAAACAGCAGCGGCTTTGCCGCAGCACGTTCAGAGCTCGATGCAGTCATCATGTAGATGAAAGGGATGCCAACGTATGTCAACGTCGCTCCGTGATAGCCATAAATTTTAATGTTTCCTTGGATTCGGGGCAAGAAATTGAACAACCAGGTATATAATCAAATTTTATCATGCAAGCCAGGCAAGTCCTTGTTGCTAATTTGATTTTTCAAGCATGTTCAAGCCCTCATCGTTCTTTCCTCGAAACAATGGAGGGCGTTTCCATGTCCCAGTGGCTCCTTGCGGGATCTCAGAGAGGCGGTACCCGGAGTGCAGCTCTTTTCCGCTCGGGAGGAGCCTGAATGGAGGTTTCAGGCGATGGCCTCCCACCGAATAAGCCTAATAGCGATGGCCTCCAACCCCAAGATGCCCAAAGAAAATTTGACACTTGCCGAAACATCGGCAGATGTTCATCAAACACTTGCGGCCCTCGACTCGCTCCTTCTCCAATGCCAAGTTGCACCAATTTGGGGCTCACGTTCTTTCCAAAGGTCCGGACTTCTTGAAGACACTGCAACGCTTCAGCGCAGGTTGCCGTGCCTCAGGGCACGAAGGCAAGGAATTGAGCAAGTTTTAGGGTTTCGGCAGTATTTTGTTGGAGGGTTTCGGCATGTTCCAGAAAACTTCTTGACTGGGCACTTTTCCAAGAAACATGACGTGTCGCAGAATTCTCTTGGCTCTCTGTGAGCAAGGATTGGTCACCCTCTACAGGCTTCCGGGGGCGGCCGAGGGTTCATGTTTGAGGAAAGTTGGCGAAATGCACGTGGGCAAAAGGAAACACACACTTTATTAAAGGTGAGGGTTACATTGGGGAAAGGCCAGGCTGCCCGCGTCCAGATTGAGATGAACATCTGAATCGTCGGCAAAGTCTTTGACCACAAAGTCCTCAAGGGTTGAGGTCATGGAGTGTGCACACATTTCGGCTCAAGAAACCCAAGCACTTGTGTTTGGAGGAAGAAATTGAACATGTTCTTTTTTGTTGCCCCATGCGGAGCCTTACTTGTCGTCGGCCGTGCAGCTGGACCACTCTGTGCTGGATCAGGAGCCGCCCAACTGTCTCCAAAGTTATCATCACCCCAATCGGACACGCCGACACCGCCATCCCAGCTTTGGTCAGGCACGCCCCAGGTCTCCTCCCACGGCGGGTCCCGCTTTGTCTCCGACTCGCGGCTCCTCATGGGTCGTGGGGCCTTCCTGAGGTTGTACTCGCGCCACAAACGCATGGCGTACATCGCGCGATCCCGGAGCGGCTGAAGGACTGTGTCAATGGCATCGTTGGAGCGAGATGACGGCAACGTCCTCCATAGCCTGGACACAAAAATGGCTACAGCAACGCGTTGCTGAACAAACCCAATGGGACGTCAAAGGCACGAGCCTCATGTAAAACCACCAATAGGAATAGTCGCCTCTTCTCATATAAGATCTCAGCGCCCCTTTTCTTTCCTGCTGGATGGTGCTCTGTTGCATGGTCTTTACGACCTGCTCAACAACTAGCCCCGGCGGTGTGTCACCAGGGCGGGGAACAAGTTCCAAGGGAGGGAGCTTGAGAACCGCGAAAGGACACATCGATCTTACAAATTCAAGATCTCAGCGACCCTTTTCTTTCCTGCTGGATGGTGCTCTGTTGCATGGTCTCTACGACCTGCTCAACAACTGGCCACAACTCCCATCAGCCCACATCACCAAAGCCGGAGCCAGGCGCTCTCTGGAATGAAGGCTTGTTTCATAGCGATGAGTTTGAGCAGAGAGGTGGTTCACTCGGCTCTGGCTCTCAACAGTCGTCTTCTGGTGTAAGTTGCAAAACACTCTCCTGCAAGGACACTTCTAGAACTCTGGTCGACAGCCAACGGCCTTTTCTCCGAACGTATTCAGCGTCCTCCATTTTCTGCAGCCAGAACGTGGCGCCTCCTGGACGGAAGCTCGACAGGGAGTATGGCAGGTCGCCCTGCCTAGCCAAGCGCGAGCTGTAGAGTGGAAAACCTCTTCTGCCGCAATGCTGAGGGCAATCTGTTCCACAACGGTTCGGAAGGCAACAAGTGAGCGAACACTGCGTCAACCAATGCAACAACGTGCTCAGGGTCTATTCGCGAGGATTGGTGTCTCGCAGCTCTCCCACGTGTCTTGGCAAGGCGGATCTTGAGCAAGGCGTGGAGCACACCTGGGGCAGCATCTATAGGGAGGATGAGGTCCTCCCGTTTGGCTGGAAAGAATTCGGCCATCCTGAAAAAACCACTGTCCACCCAATGCCTCGCGGCTCCAACCCCAGAGTGGGGGAGGGCCGTGTTGTGCTCGCAAGGCCCGTCCACAACCCAGTAGGCCGAGTCCCACTAGAGCATCTGAAATGAGCTCTGCGTCCAAAGCACGGGGCTCAAGCATGGCCCCCAAAGTCGTCCTCAAATTGTCAACAATCCAACGATCAAACGCCAAAAGCAAACGGTCCCGGCGGTTGCAAGTGCTCTGCAAAACAACCCTGTCAGCTTGAAGGACTTGCCTGAGCGTCGTTGCGCTCTCTCAGTTTCTTCTTTGTTGCTTGGCTGTAGTGGCATGGCAGCGGCCGACCGGAGTGCGCCCCAAATGGCTACGACATGGAATTGGGCACCACTAAACCAATTTGGGGAAAACCACAGGGTCTCCGAGACACAGCCCTTTCTGAAGTCCAAGCATCAGAGAAATCATGGGAAAATCCAAGACTGGAATGGGGCAGTTGGCTGGAGCTGAGCATGAGCAGGGCCAAAATCAAAGCCAATGAACAAGTCCACAATCCAAAGAGCGATGGAAATGAGGGGCGATCGAAAGAGCTGGCAGTCGCACCAGCGCAAAGACATAGCACGACCAAAAGGTAGAGCCGAGTCCATTGGCCGTAGTCCTTGAGAACTGATGAGAAAGAATGCAAGGTAGCGATCTTCACGGGAGAAAAAGTAGAGAGCACTGAATGTCCAGCTGGTTCTGGGAAATCTTTGTCTCGAGATGGAGCGTCAGCAGTGTTCAATCTGGTAGGAGCAAAACCATAGGCAGGGTGAAGGTTCCCTGCCAGTTGATAGGCACAAAGATCTGAAGAGCGAGGGCCGTAAGGCATGTGGTGATGATCTGCCTTTTGCGTGCGCCCCTTTTGCCGCACGACTGTCCAGGAGGCCAAAAAATCTGCGATCACCTCCTTGGTCAAGAAGCCTCTTCTCAAGCGCATCAAAGGCTCTGCTCTCCAGAATGTTGATGTGCCCTGCTGTTGACCAAGACCAGTCTGCAAGGGTGTGCCAATCCCCCTACAACAATAGATCATTGATCAGGACACTCTCAAGGGACGTGCTCGGTGGTTGTGGTGCATGCCCTTCGTCTCTCAAGGCAGCTGCAAAGCATTGAGCTATCTCAGCAACTCCAGGTTGATAAACTGCACTAGGTTTTGTCAGCTTCCCTGCAATCTGCACATGTTGGTGCCCACCAGGGCATGGGACTTTTAGCATCTCCATGTCCAGGCCCCAGCCAAGTAGCCTGAATGGTTTCTTGTGAGGGCTACCAAAGGCGCAGGAGTTCAGAAGGAAGCTCCAAGCCGACAACCAAGCCATCTTTGAAACGTGATATACCTCCAAGCAAACCATAGGATGGCAAAGCTTCTGAAGGGTAAGAAGTTGCCCAGGTAAGTCTTCGGGCCCCGCCTGTTGAAGCCAAGTGGTACGGCGTACGATCTCGAGGCAGGTGCCGAGCTGGCGAAAATCAAACTGTGGAATCTCTTCCCTGCGATCATTTGGAAGATCCAATCCACAAGCTTGGGACTGGACAAATCGATGGGAGGGCAGGTGATCAGCCCAAGCTCTGCTGCAGCTTTTGATAGAACTCCAGAGCCACCAAAGATCTCGACGAAGTCAAACTCAAAGACTCAAAGGGGATCACTTTGGGTGGTCCAACAAGGACGTCAGACTGCAACGGAGTTGCATCACAGTCTTCACCTACCAATCTCAGCATTGCTCTCGTAGGTGCGTCGAGCATAGTGTATGAGCCTCTCTTGTCACCTCCCAGCCAAAGAATCTCGGAGATCTCTGCCCCAACTTTCTTGCTGGTCACAGCTCTCTTCGTGTTGGAGGCATCTGTGGCATAGATGTAGGTGTCATAAGGCACGGAGATGTCAGTGGCGGCTGCAAGCCCGATCACGCTAGTAAGCACAAGCTCATCTGCAGCTCTACGCGTCAGGGTCACAACCTCATCAGCATCTGAGGCATTCTTGTTGCTGAGCGCAAAGATCTGTGATATAGAGTGCAGCACAGGCATCTGCATAACATCAAGGTAGATACCCAGTTGCCAGCAAGTCGGGAAGTTAGGGTTCTGGAGATCACTGGAAGGCAAGCTGCCCGAAGTGATAGCGCCACCGTCGGCCTCTTTGACAGGGGCAAAAACGGGGACTAGGCCAGAAGCCCGGGCTCGACCATCAGACATGACCTCGGCTCCAATGAAGGGGTGTTGACATGCTCTTGACTGATAGCAAAGTAATAAGCCCTGCCACCACGGTCCACGAGGGAAAACATGGTGCTCCAGGATGGTATCAGACTCAACCAGCAGTCCTCTCCTCTTGGGCAGGTTTGTGTGGCTCTCTATAGTGCAAACTCAACTCCCAGGTAGTCTCCCTGGAAAAGACCCTTGAAGCCGACGGTCACGGAAATGACATCCTGCTCTTTCATGGGCTTCGCAGGAGGCATGCCATAGGTCTCCGCAAGACCTTGCCATTGTGGGCAGCGCCTGAAGTTTTTTTCCCGGCCCATCGGCCCCTTGCTCGAAAGTGAGGTTCCTGACTGGCCCATGTCGTGGAAAGGGTCGCCCGAGTTGTTTGCAATCTGGGCCACCAATGCTGTCAAGGCCTGAGACTGGGCCAGCATAGCTCGAGCAAAATCTGGTGTGTTCTCCGGCAGGTCGACAAGCATCTCCTCTGTATCGGCCTGAGAAAAGGTGACCTTTGGCTTGATAGGCGTGGAAAGACTTCGGACAGGGCATCTCGGACAGCAACTGATCCTGATCCAGCAATAGGCAAGCTGCCAACGGGCTTTCTCAATGCTGAGGCTCTGGCTGTCGACCCCACAAGTTCCTGGACTTGATTGACAAGAGCCGGCAGGGTCTGGCTGATCTCCGCCTTTTCCACCACCGCGAGGAGCTGTGCCCTTTCTTCGGGCACTTGGCCGACTGCTTGGCCCCGGGGGAGGTGATCCCAGCTCTTCCTCTATAGGTCTTGGTGTCATCGGCACCTCGTCTGCAGAGTAGAAGTGGGTTCAACCGCCTTCCAAGTTCTTCTCTGGCGCAACTCAAAGCCTTTGCCACCAAAGACTCTGGAGAAGGTATCAGTAGTGGCTCTCTGAAGTCGAAGGCAAGAAGCAAGAAGCCCCATCATTTCTGAAGCCTCCTCCGCGCTCCTCATACATTGCAAGAAATCTGAATTGAAGTCCACCAGCTTGGCTTCGAGTTCAACACTGCAGCATCAAACTCTGCCTTCAAATGGCCCACCAGCGAGGTGTGATCGGCTGTGTCTCGAAGTACTGGCATTGCTGATTCAGGCATGGCCAGCAGCACACCGTCTCTCCTTGCCAACACCAAAAGGGCTATGCACTGTGTGACGTGAGCTGAACCAAATCCAAGAGCTGCCAGGTCTAGCACATAGGGCACGAAAATGGCTGGCCCGAAGTCCGAGTGAAGGGGAGGAAAACCTTCGTCCTCCTCCAATACCCGATCTGCAGCCGTGAGCTCCATGTGAATCCTGCTCCTGCAAGGTACACCTCAGTCTCAACCTTGGAGGGAAAGCCGTGGCAGATCGTGTCTGGTCTTGTAGACTCTGGGCGAGGCAATGTTGGGGTCCCTGACCACTGCGTAGAAGCGGTTGCCCAAGTCAATCGTAGGAGTCCTGTTCGGGCTCTGAACTCGGCCGGCCCTAACAGCGCCTGCCCAGCTTGCAGCCTTCCAGGCTCTTTGAACACGCTGCTCTGGTGACCAACCTCCTTTCCTGGATGAAGCCAGTAAACGAAAATGACCAGGACAAGGAGCAAGCGTTGCCTCAATGGAATCCCGGCTCTCCCTCGTCGGGGTTGGTGAAGTGGGTTCAACCTCCTGCCAAGATGCAATGCTCTATCCACTGGAAGGGATGGAGCCACGAGATTGCCCAGTGTAGCCACCCAGGTTGGAAGGAGCTGGTTCTCCAAGTGAAGTCTCTTGAGCCAGTCGGTGCACAAAGGAAGCAGCTCTGTCTGCGCTTCCACGCACGGTGATCTGGAGCCCTTGGAGCTCCAGAGGCAAGTTACAGTAAGTTCCTCGTCTTCCCCTCTTGAGGGGGAAGAGCGGCTGCTCATTCACGTAGGCACGAGCCCGATCAGGAGGACCAGCTGCACCCTGGTGAGGCACAGCAGACAACCAGGAAGGCTGTGCAGGCAAGAATCCAAGGCCCCAAACACAAAGAACCAAGGTGATGAGGATGCCGAGGCACAGGCCAAGAAGAAAGGAGACGATGAGAGTAGGAAGCCCGGCCACAGAGCAATGCGACGGGCAGCCAATGCCCCACCAGTTGGACTGAGCCCCGGAGACCAACACCCCCAAAAGTTTGGGGGCCCAATCCATGTAGCTTGAGCACCGCGAAAGGACACATCGATCTTACAAATTCAATTCAAGATTGGTTTTCTTCACTGGCTAACGGCTAGTGTTTGTCCTTTGACCTTCGTGTTTGTCAAAAAGCACCCGCCAAGAAGATCCAAGAAGCCGCGCGCCACGGATTGCACATTCCTTCCACTCTTCGGTGCTGAAATCTGGCTCCACATGGCTGGTTGGTTTTGGTTTTGGCTTTGCTTTGGGCTTCGGAGCTGGCACCTGGCACCAGGGCTGCCAAGGTTCAAAACCCTTCCGATACTCAAGCTCATGTGAATGTATGTGAATGTGAGACTGAACAGGCGCCCGACTTAGCGACATTTGTGTTTCATGCTTGTAAAATCTTGTATACAAGCAATGCTGAAGTCAACACTTGGCCTACTTCTTTGCTCGGTGTGCTATGGCTTTCAGCTGTGTGGCATCCCTTGGTCTTTGGGGAACTGCAACCCAACCCATCCAATTCTTTCGTTTTCACTCGGTTCTTTTGAGCAGTCCCATTTGGATTGTCCCAAATATTTCGGACCCCCGCGGTAGTGCCGGGGCCCCAAATCCCAATCGCCCCCTCACCTCTGCCTCGTCTTCACTGACATCGCTGAAATCACCGCCTTTTCCTGCCCAGCTGAGATCAGCCAAAGATCGGTCTGCACGAGTCAGCTTAACTATCTTACGGTAGCTCTTTCGATCTCTCTTTCGATTCTTTTCTAAGAGTCGTGAGTCGTTCACCTAATGCAGTCAACAACTTGCATGTGTCAGTCTGTGTCAGTATCTCTGCCCGTAGCTTGCCTTTCCATTTGCCTTTTCGGAGTGAAGGCACAAACTCACGTTCACGTCTTTCAACAAAAAGCTGAAGAAATGATTCGTCGAAGCCTCCAATGGGGCTTCAATGTCATAACGACAGCGGCAAAAGCACCACAACACAATCACCCAAACAATCTTTGAACAAGGAGCCGAAAGCAACGTTGATCTTGTGCTGCATGAACCTTATCCTTGACCCCTTGTCACCAAGGGCATCTCGCGAGTTCTTGCAAACAACGATCAGCTCCACGGTTTGTATCTTCTGAACTTCGTCGTCTCGCTCGTCCGGGGGACACTTCCCGAATCCCTTTTTGTAAGCCCCCAGATCTGCACTGCTCAAATACAAGGAGCAGTAGTTGCTCTTTAACTCCGCCTTGAGAATCTTCTCCACTTTCTCCAAGAAGTAGTACGATCGTGGGGCCACAGTCATGGCAAACCCTGAGACACTGTTAAGGTACCTCTGCCCCAAGAATACCTTATTATGGACAGGTTTGAGACGGATCTTCTTATTAGCAATGCTCCTCTGGGATCTGCCTACCACACCTCGGACATAGCTTCTGCCCATGTATCTCGACAATTTTTCTGAATCCGAAGGCTCAACAGTTTGGGACGATGCCACGCAACAACCAAGATTCAGTTCAACTCGTCAACATCAGCAGGAAAAGACTAGCAGAACTTATCTGATTTTCCACCATTGGCCTTTCAAGCTGGGGTGGGCACACGATAGTAGATCGCCGCTCCAGGCTCTTTCCAGCTTTCATGATGATTGGCACATTGGACCTGGGAGCGCACATGGGGTGTAAATGTAAGGTAGTTGACCCTTTGGGTGCAGAAATTGAGAATTAACTGAGTATAACTTCGTGCAATTTGCCACTTACAAGAAGCCACATGACTCGGATCCTTTTGTCTTTTGCTTCAAGAACATCTGTGGGCAAAGGCTCCGTGGACGAGCGTCCTTTCTCTTCATGGCTTAAGGTCTTTTAAATATGTTAAAAAAGACCTTCATGATCTTTCCATACCTTTCCAAGGCATGCCCAACTGACAGTCGTCCTTTCAGGCATCGGCCACCTCTCATTGTCCAAGTGCAAAACCTGGTGGCATTCTGCGGAGGAAATACACTTCACCGCTTTTCAAGACACCATGAAAATCAAAGCAGAAAACAACGCCAGCTTCACACATGCAGCGAAAGTTGGGCATTTTGACTTGTAGCCTGCAGGCACAACTTTTCAGGATGGAATGCGGAGCACCTAGCTGCCAGTTACACTAGCACTTACACATAACTATAACTGTTCTTCTTCTGCTGCCACTACTGGACACACACACAATCTATCCTTTCAGCTGGAGTCGCACTTGCCAGAGTATCTGGGAAGGCGAAACCGTCAACTCTATTTCTGAAAGAACGGTGACCAATCGGCCAATCGGCTTGGAAGTTGGGGGAGGTGACACTGCGGCTTGAGGCAGTTTAGATTACCGCCCCCAATCTTGGGGGAAACTGTTGTTACCACCTATGCCGGTCCATATCGGCAGGCCAGCCCCAAAAAAGGCACCCTGGTTTTCCACAATCATTAAACATCATTTAATTATCTATCTTGAGTGGCAAAAATGCCGCCCACGGCCTTGCTTCTCATTAATGGCTTGGATGGCCTTGGCAAAACAACGGCTTCCTGTGCATTTTCCGCGGCCCTTCTCCATACAACTGTAATTGTTTCGGGATCCGCATCATTCAATGCTAGTCCAACTCTACTTCTTGCTTCCCGGCAGTGGTGCACTGGCACTGCAAAGGCATGACCATAAGCTGTTACAATTGGAGACATGTTTCACTATCACCCGGCTCGCTGCAAGGCTTCCGTGCTGGATCGTCTTGGTAGCCATTATATTGACCAACCACACACTCCTCCCTCTTCACTGTACGGAACTGCTTCAAGACCTGTCATAAGATTTCCTGAATTCACACAAATTCCAAACTGACGCATACTGATGCTGCACTCTGAGAGAGAACATGCTGCGTGATCAAACACGATGCTTTTTCTGCCAGAGGCTAGGCCCCTAGGCAAAGGGTGAAGTAACGCTTCATCTTTCATCGTCTTTCGATGGCGCTGCAGTTTGTGCAAACTCGGTGGTCCAATTTCCAAAAGGCTCCCCTCGCTTCAGAACAACCAAAGTAGTCGTGCGCAATGCAATGCTTAGCCTTGACCTTCTCATCTCTGACATCTTCAGGGTCCAGGCTAGCCTCGGCTTATCTTCACGGTACTGAAGAGTCAGCTCATCACTCCTCCCTCGCGACCTATGCCTTTGAACGACATGGGGTACAGTATCTGAATCAAACCAAGAACAAAACTACAAAACCATCAAGGGCCAAGCAATCCCAGCACACCGCTTCAATGACCTCCACGTTACACGGGGCATCATCTTAAGACACCTCGCCTTTTATGCGAAAGACTGCACACTCTTGCAGAAAACTAGGCCGCTTCAGTAGTCTGAGGGAACCAGCTTTGCTCAGCTAGGCAAGTTCCCCTCACAAGTACTTTGTTCCAAAAGAACTCAGCCTATATTCTCAGCTCCCCAGAAATTGCTGATGTCCAGGGCATGAAGATCCTTCATTCCGACTTTCGTCCGTGCTGAGGATCCCGTTCCGGTGCTTCCATCAGCACCAGCCTGGGCTGAAAGAGCGCAGGCTGATGCCGCTGTGGCTGGCTTCCTGCTGAGATGGGTTTGTGGGAGCCAAGAGCAAACACATAGAAGAACCACGGATGGAATTCAGGATGAACACTTATTCAGAGCTTGGCTGGAGGTATGCTTTGTAGCTAGGTGCCCTTCGTCTGCCATCCTCGGCCACCTACGAAAGCTACCCAGCAAACGTCGGCCCGCTTTCGCATCAAGAGCTCTTGCCACACTCTGAGCACTGTGCGTCAGTAGCTGCAAAAGATGGTTTTGCATGACATCCTTGGGGCTGCAAGCTGCCGTGGGATGCTGTGGGTTGTTCATTTCCAACGCTACTGACTTTCCAACGTTGCTGCTTTGCGTGCAGGTCTTGTCACAGAAGTGGGCAAGAAGGGCAATCCCCAAAGCCTAACCGGCCAGGTGACTTTGTTCTTTCTGCAGTTGAGTGCATTTTGAGTTGCCCAGGCACCACGTGGCAACCGTTCTGCCGGAATGCACTTTGTTAGGCACATGCTAGCTAGCACCTTTCCGTCTCTGCACTCCTAACACGGTGAACTGAAGGACAACATGCCTCTGCACTTTACATGGAGACGGACAGAAGCAGCATAAAACTGGTCGAACAAAGCTTTGACCTCAAGTTGTGGTATTTGTTCTCATGCCAAACAAGCCCACTATTGTATGAATTCAATCTTTTGATCTCTTTAGCATTGCCTGACATTCTTTCATATCCATGTAAGCAGGTTGTAAGACTTTAGGCATTGCCAACCCTCATGATGCTGCAGTTTCGCTCAATCAAGCACCGGGGCAGCCCTGTTCACAGGTTTTGGGCCATTGGCCAGCTATGTTCGAGGCAGCTGAACATTTTTTCCGCGGCACAGTCGAAATCTAAGGCTTGTAGAAAGGGACGACGACTTAAATCTACATGTCGTTGTTGGAGGCAAAGCCACGCATGCAGAAATACCTATCAACTCCCAACACACACACACACACACTGGGCATTACCAAACACATGTCCAGTAGAGCTGCATGTTGCTTGCCTGGAAAGACTACCTATGGAATTTATCTGAATTTAACCCGCCTTGGGAAGAGGTTTCCTTCCTTTTGGCAAAGCTCATTCTGGGTCATGCTGACCTTCCTTTCAGCGAGGGTTTGGTTGGTCTGTGCAGTCCACCGCTGGGTCTGCACCACATTTCGCACACCATCCCACCTGGTCAAGCCCGAAAGCTCTAGGGGAAATGGCGCTCACACCAACTCAGGGCTTCCCGGAGGAAGATCTTTGTAAGGTGACCAGATTTGAAAGGATGGCAAAGAGGTCAAATGGCACGAACGCTCCTCCTCCTTGAAAGCACCTCGGTGGCGGGTCGTGGGCCATGCAGTCACATGCAGTAACTAGGGGACGCACAACATATAAACATGAGATCTTCCGGAATCGGCCTGAGATGAACGCTTCCATGCATCAACGCGACGGAAACAACACCCCTGGACCGTCCCTTTGATGTGCAACACAGCTGCGGCTCCAAAAGCGGCACAGCTCCTGTCGCATGTCGTCGGGAAATTCCCACATCTCCTGGAAGGCTGGGGGATTGGAGCCTGGAGCAATCACTTTGATGGGGTTTGTCCAAGACGTTAAAAGCCTTCGCCCTATGTACACCAATGCCCAAATATTGGCTCAAATCTGCATGACCAAAGAATTCTTTGGTGCGCGCGTCAGATCGCAGAACATGACCTTAAATAGTGCGACCCTTGGTGCACGTGGTTGACAAACACCATAATGACCCATAATGCTCCAGGCCTGGTGATGTCGGGCTCCATTACAGTACTCAGGCGGTGTGTAGCCGAAGACCAGGTAGCAATTCAGCATCCTGGCGACCACCCATGGACCCCACTTGGAGTGACCAGCGGCCATCGAAATATGTTCCTTTCGGATGCGCGGCCGTGGGTAGCTGTGATACTTCAAGAACAATTTGATTTTTTGCCAAAGATGTCCCATAGCAAATATTGATTGGAGGGCTGCGAGAAGAAACATCAAGTCCTCTGCCCAAAAGAATGCTACGTAACAACCACAGTCTGATTTTATGAGTGAACAAGTCAAAGATCACAGGATCTCCCACGGTAGCAACAGCTCCCCTCCACAGTCCCTGACAAAACGGTCGCCCCAAACTCAGTCTCTTCGATCGGCACCACATTGTCAATGCTGCTCCTGGCGGTCGAAAACACTGCGCAGGACTCGTCGTCTCAGCCATCTCTGAACACACAGGACTTTCTAAAGGCGTTGCTTCTGAATGATGCGGGTGCTCACTGTGTAGGCAACACTACAGTTTCTGACAAGGAAGTCTTTACTGGGCCAATTCTTTCCCCCACAAGCAGGCTCGCTTCAAGCCAAGCTGCTGAGATAGCATCAAGCGCCGTTGTCGAGGGCATTGTTCGCCTCGCAACGCCCCTTTGCTAAGATGAAATGGAACACAAGGGTGCCTTTACAGAGACCAAGGGTGCCTTTTTTGGGATGTGAATATGACAGTCAATCAAAGAAGACTCCACTGGAAAATCTTTCAAGCAACTTGGCTGGGGGGGGGTTGCCAAACCAAACGGTGCTGCGGATCCAAAGGCAGTTGCTGATCCAAGAGGCTCAGTAGCTTCAGCAGATCGAAGCTATCAACTGTGTTTCCTGGGCGCCAAAGACTGGTCCCACTCCAGTGTGGACGCGCTCTCAACTGCTAAATATGACATTATAAAAAGATATGAAAAGTATCTCATCCGCATATGGCACACTTGATCGGTCGAGGCTCCAGAGAAGAACTGGGCGCCCCAAAAGACTGGCAGGGCCAAAATGGGCGCCAAAAAGCGACCCACATAAGGCTGTATTGTACCGATGATGCCTCAGGCACGATCAGGGTGGCCTAGCTGGTGATTTGTGTTCTAGCCTTCACCATCCCAAAGGCATTCTAGAATATTCTAGAGATTTTGGTCCACCAGCAACCCATGTTCAGTTGGGTGTCTGCCATGCAATCCATGGAGGGGCGCTGAATCCAGCCAAGCGGAGGAGATTCGTGGCTCCAAACCCATGGCGATCCCAGCCGCATAGGCTCCCTTTGAGAAACCCATGAGCCCCACCTGCAAAGGGACTGACACATGGCTACGCATGGGTGGCGGTGTGGAGTACTCAATTAAAAACACATCGCCGGGAAGTTGTGCGGGGCATATCAAGCATCAGGGCTCGATAGCTGCTAGGATAGCGTATGCCTATGCAATAGAATACTTGACCTTGAATGCTCAAATCCTTCTGTCCCAAAAAGTGTTCAGGCAGCCAAGTACTCAGGAATTGCCCACCTTTTCATCCGGCAGCGCGCCACCAAGAACACCATCGGGGTCTTCAACAGCATAGTCCCAGGCCCCCAGCAGGTCCAAATGGTAGTCCTAACAACCAGCAGGGCTCGGCATGGTCTTGTTGGTTTCCCCAAGGTATTTATAATGATACATGTTTACCTTCAGCAGCCCCGGCCCTTGTGAAGTGAATCACCGCTACGAGCAACCCCTATGTCAATTTCTATGACACTTCCATTGAATGGTCCTGAAGGCTACAGCAATTAACACAGCACGCAGCAACAGTATGCATGTGCATGGCATCCTGCATGGCACCTGCAACAGTCGCTACACACCCACCACACCCACACCCACCCCAACCACACTTTCTCTCTCTCTCTCTCTCGCTCTGTCGCAAATTGCTTCCACAGATCAAAGCCCCAGGTCACAATGTCTGGATGAGTTGAGGCCCCAGACAAGCCAAAATCTCGTGCGGAGGGTGTCAGGCAGCTATATCCCAAACTCCGCAAATGAAAGCAAGTCATCTGCACCTTGCCCAAATTGGCAAAGAGACGAGGACCCCCAAAATGCCATGGCATAAACGTGCATGGGCATGGAAAATCTCAAACAAATAATGCAACGGATCTCACACAACACATTCTTGATATATATATATATATGTGTATAAGTGCCCCTAGTGCAAACCATCAAACACGAAAGTTTACAAATGTTGCAACCCAAATGCGCCGCAGTGATTGTTGTTGCTGGCAAGACCATGCATCACCACTACACGTGGTGCGAGTTTACCTCCTTTGACTGGGGCAGGTAGCCACCACGCACTTATATTTACTGGTGGCTTGTCACCAGGACCAGGTCGAGACAAAAAGTAAACGAGCTTGAAGCCATTCTCTTCATTGAATCTCTCCCAGCTCTTCACCAAAGTCAAGTTGTAGCAAGGTGTCACGCACTCCGACAGCTCCTCGTCTGTCTTGTAGCCCCCTCTGCAGCCACCACAACTGTTGTATCTGGGGAACTGCACGGGTGTCCAGTTTGGGTCTTGCTCTTGATTGCAGGTTGTCATCGACACCAAGCCCCAGCCGACCATGAACAGAAGCAGCGAGAGAGAAAGAAGCAAGCAGCAGCAGCCACATGCACATCCCAAAATATATTTCTTCTGTTTCCTGGCTGGTCCACTGATGGATTCTTGCTAAAGAGTCTGGACTAGAGAATGTAGAGCGCGCTGGCCGATCATTTGGGTCCAAACAGAGTTTGCCCCTCAGAAAAACGCATGTTTTGGGCCTAGGCTTCATAAGCATGTTACCATGCGCCCACGTTTGGTTTCACTGGTCTTTCACACGCAGCAACTGCCAGGACATGACCATCACTTGATTGCAAGGTGATGAGGCCCTGATTGAAATTTCTCCATCCTGTCTCAACCATGGTATTGGATGTGTTGGTATTTCAACTGGGCAACCTGAATCACGTGATGTGCCAAAGACCCTTTGAAGGCCTTTGCGGATCAAACCTCCAAGCTGCAACGTTGGAAAGGCTGGATAATCTTCATCACCTGATGCTTGGATATCATCCCCTGATGCAGCGAGTTTAGGCGTTGGTGGACGTCCGCCGCCGTCTCAAACCGAACCAAGGGGGAACACCAATGGGATCAAGTGAGAAGGCGTTTGGAGTGTGTTTGTCTACCGCTGTGAAAAGGACAAGCCAACGTTCTCCGCGCGTTGCATCGTGTTGGTGTTTGTTTTGTTCAGTTCATCACCTCCAACAGGGCCAATGGGGATCAATGGGGTACAGTAGTGTCTTTATAGAAACCTTCAGGTTCTGGACACGCGCAAAAAGTCTCAGCCGCCGTTGTTGTTTTACAATGATTGTATATCGCGGAGCTTAACGGCAGCACCATGGCTCTTCGTTCCAACAGATATTTGGGCACAGCACCTCCTTGATCTTGCTGAACGCTGCATGGTGATCCTTGTACCGGTGATCCTGCTGCTGGCGCCTGCACATAAGCGAACTTGGTGTACCTGCCAGCGTGCATGGGAATGGCCACAGCAACGGAGGCGGACGTGGAGGATTGAGGATGGAATCGTATAATGTTTCTGAGTAACTCATTTGGAACATACTCCAAAACAAACTCCATGTTAAACAGCCAGGGTGCATTTCTCACCTGCCGCCCTGCGTTCATGGCGCCATCATGGCTAAGTTTTGAGACAAGTTTCCTGCAAAGGCCAAACAACTAAACAACAATCTCGGCATTTCTTTCAAAGCCACAGGCGAGATCACAGCTGGAGAATGCTAGTTGCAAAAATATCAAACAGGTAGTGCAAGTGACACAGTGGCAGTTTGAATATGTGATCTGAATTCAATCACTGTTAGCCATCAGCCCGTTTCCTACTTCTCCTTCCCTTCGCTTTCCATCGGGCTTGAAACAAGCAGCTTTTCATATCTCCCTGGGTCCCGTGCTCGAATAATGCCATAACCTGGCAAAGCTAAACACTACTGTAACTCGGGAGGCGGAATTTAAACGAAAGAATCCCATGAAGAGGACGACTAGCAACAAGGGCATCTTCACTTCCGACCTTAAAGGACCACCGTACGAAAACAAGTTCTTCCAATGACAGGCCGCACCATCGAAATATCCAGCTCTGCCAGCGACCTGGCAGAATTGCATACGCAATTGCAGTGACCAGTGCATGAAGCCCCCAAGACTTGTCAGGAAAGCTTGAAACTCTACGTAGCAAAAACGACACACGTACGCGAATTCAGTATCTTCTAACAAATCTATCCCAAAACAGGTGCATGCAGCTGTCGCAACATGTCGGTGCAATGCAGGTTGAAACTTGCACCATGTAGTGGTTTAGTAGTTTAGTCGCACGTAATCAAGCCTCCAAAATTCTTGTTGGCTTGCTGCAGGTCTTTTGCTGCTTTGAGACTACGCCTCTTTTGTTGCACGAGCTTTCTCCACAACTGAGGGAGAGCACGTTGATGTCTTCCTTGAAGGTGATCCGAACGATAGAGACATTATCAGCCTGAGATGCGGAAAGAAGTACAGCCTTGGACATCTTGGACAATACTTCATGCTGCCACCTCCGCCAGAACAATTTCAACACATTTCAACCTCCAACTTGCGGCAAGTGGGTTAGTGGCTCCACATCCATATTATCTAAGAGGCCCACGTGAAAGAGTCGACCGAGCTCCCGATTGGCAAAGCGAAGGGCCAAAATGTTGAGGACCTCAGTCTGGCTCGTCCTGCGGAGGATCTACTCAGAAGGTTTCAGAGACAAAGAGTGGATCCCACATATGGGGTCTTTTTGAGGCTGCCTGTCTACTACCTGTCAAACGTTGGCACGCATGTTGGCCCATGATCGAACATCTTCGAAAGGATCCGGATGTCGGGCGCTATCCCTCCAAAACACCTCTACAAACCCGATCGTCACCCCTAGTCGATCAATGTAGAAGAGTCAGCGGTCTGAGAGGTCAACCATATTCTTCGCCAGGTAGTGGTCGATACGGTAGACCTGTGACCTCGGGAGCTGTTGGAGCTTTAATCGGTGTGGCAACGGACACGCAAAGGATCCCTTGAGATGCTTAAACTGCATGTGAAGCAAACACTTGCCACCCTTTGGGACAAACTGTCGCTACGGGCACCACTTGGCGGCCCAAGGGCAAATTTGCGATTACCCAGTAGTCACGTGACAAGTTTAGCACTCTGACGTGACAGGCGCCCGTCTACGCTTGGGCAGTGGATCTGCTGCGAGCTCTCAGCTTGAAGCTCCTGCAAATATTCAGACACCTGGCTAGACAAGTCTCTGGCCTCGGTCACCAAGGCATAGATCGAGGTCAAACGCCGTCAAAGGAAACATTGCGTTTGAAACACAGGGTGCTCTCCACGTTGGAAGTTCCTTCAGGGCTAAGGGCTACAAAGCATTCCTGCATGTCGCCGTAGCAGTTCAAGTGCAACCAACACCAAACCTGCTCCACGATACTAGGCTGGTGCCAGGAGTGGAGCCTCGTCAAGACCGTTAAGCTTTTTGGGGCTCCTGACTGATGCCAGGTCGCGACCAAATGGTTTCTCCACAATGACGCCTCAGGAAGGACAGTGATGGAAGCACCATGGTGTATGAGGAACCAACATGAACCAACGAAATACAGCACCAAGCCTCAGAAAAAAAAAACACACACGGGAACTCAGTTGACTTGTCCGTCAGGACACCTACATACAGGCCTTCACGTGGGCTGGTCCAGTGCTAGAAGCCGTGCATACGCTGTATCCGGACTGTTTAAGGTATCTTCTGCGCCTTGGAGCCCTCTTCGGCTGACGCGTGATATCTATGAGGACTCCGAGGGGATCATCATATTGAATTGCACATCAGCATCAGCTCCAAATAAAACACATACTCACACACCACACACGCCATTGTGCAAACAAAACAGGGCAGGGTAGGGTACATTTTGAAGAAACAACTATCCCACGATTCATCTATAGCTTGGATTCAAGACTGCTGGGCTCCCAACGAGTGTAGCCTTTATCAGGCCAGCATTCCTGGCATAGCTGAGGAGCTACTCAACTCCTTACAACTTATAACTGTTTTGGGCAACGCCCACAGTCCAACACACTGTTGAAAGTAAGTGTTAGGCCTTGGTGTTGCTAGTAGCGATGCACTTGTTACTAGTAGCAATGCCTTTTCGCTGTGCCAAGGATCATGCTTGTTGTATGCTGTTGTGGCTTTCTTGTGTCGGGATGTGTCGGGTGTATGCAATCAAAGTTGCGACATCGCCTCGCGTTTTTCGAAAAAAGGTGAGCGAATCGAATCATGAAGGCAACTTGCAACAGCGAATAGATAGACCCCCCCTTCTCCTTCCAAATGGGTTCAAACAAAAGCATGGTTTTGCCGCGGAACATCACCTCAAACCTGGTGTGTGCATTCCGATTCGGCCTCGAGCCTGATCGAAATTGTTGCGCTTCAACCCACCCCCAAAAGATACTCACCCCTTCACCACTCCTCGCGAATGAACTTCACAGCGGTATGGAAGAGGAAAGGCCTAGTTCTTCAAATGGGGGCAAACCGCAGGACACAAAGACTCAAATCGCAGGATTGAGTGGACTGTTGATCATACCGACCCATCCGTCGAAAGAAGAATGACGCATCCGTTGGAGTCTAATTAGCTTTTTGTTACTAGTAGTAAGGCCAGGAGCTACTGGTGGCGTCCTTGCTCCTAGTAGCGATGCCCTTTGTTACTAGTAGCTTCTTGTCACTAGTAGTAAGGCCAGGAGCTACTAGTAGCATCCTTACTCCTAGTAGCGATGCCCTTTGTTACTAGGTAGCTTCTTGTTACTAGTAGTAAGGC